TAGCCAGCTTTGCCTCTATGAGTAAATCAGCAGCAGCAGGAGGTGAGCGGGCCCCGGTGGCTTTTGCAGCAGAGCAGGTACGAGCGCCTCCACCACTGGCGCAGTGGGTTGCGTCCCTGTGCTGCACTGCTCTTACCTGCTGCTTCACTTGTCTTACTGGCACCAGCATTGCTCTTTCCAGCTGAGCAGTCGGGAGCGGCTTGCAGAGCGCGTGGCTCCCATCACTGCCCTGGGCCAAGCGGGCGCGTGGCCCCGTCTCCATGCCAGCGGGACCCCGGGAGGACGGCGTTTATGACAGCCAGACAGCGGGCAAACGGGACGAATGGAACAGCTACCTCCCGCCCCGGCTCTCGGGGCGCCCGGTGGGGAGGGAGCGCTCGTGACCTCGTGTTTAGGGTTTTCCTCCCCCTTGAAAGCAATCCTGATTTTTCCACACGGCTGCTCCAGAAGCACCGCGCGGGGGGACGGCAGCACGCTGCCTCTGCTCAGGGCGCTTGCTGCGACGCTGAGCCTTTCCGGTTAAGTAGTTTTCATTCCCACTTGTTAGTGGGCACTGCCTGAGTTTCCTTCCCTCCTGTCTTACCCCCTGCCCTCCTCCTCCCCTGCTCAGCGTGCGTGAATTCGCCGATGCCCGTGTGCAGCAGCAAATGCTGTCTGCACTGTGCTGCTCCTGGCAGGCCACAGGACGTCTGCAGAGAGGAACTAGGGAGCGCTTGGCTCCGGCTTTTCCGTATGAGTGAGGTAAACTGAGGCCCAGAGCCGTTATGGGAAGTGCTTAAGACTGTATGAAAAGTTGGTGGCCGAGGCTGGAGCTGCCTCTAGTAAAAGGGGATAGGAGCTTTCCTTGACTGTCCCGGGCTTCTGCCCCTGCGCGGCAGGTGTAAAACAGCCTCCGCTTTGCCTTAGCAGCTCTGCCCTGCTGCAGGTGTCAGGGAGATGGAGGATCCCAATCCTGTAGTTACTGTCCTGCTTTTAACATTAGAATTTCCTGCAGGATTAAATACGGCTCTGAGCAGAGCCCAGGAGCACTGCCTGCTCCTGGCTGCACTCCTGGGAAGACTGGCCTTGTAGGGACTGCTTGCATCCCCACACCCCAACAGCCTCCAAACCTTTGACTCCACACATCTTCCTGGATTGTACTGGATAAGGGCAAGAAGCATCCTTCCGAAGTTGTTGTACCTTGTGGATGCTTTGGCCCCTTTCGTGCCTTTCCGGGGCAGATGCATCGCTGTTCAGATCTTTTCTGGGTCCCATCCAGGCCCTCCGAATTGCGATGTGACCAGCAAAGAGGGGCCAGAGATGCTCCTGCTGGAGAAGCAGAGATGTCCTGTTGCCTAGGAGGAAGGATGAGCTGGCAAACTGCTTTTCAGGATCCCAGGGACTTGGGCTTAGAAACAATTTCTGCATGAAGGTGCTGTTGTGGAGATGCCAGGGTCTTCCTTGCGTGACAGGTATTCCCCATCCTGAAAACAGCAAGAGACCCAGAAAACTTCTGAAATTGAGATACAAATGGGTTTTTAATTTATTTTTTTTACTTAGTCTCCCCTGACTCTTGGGAAAAAAAACCCAAAACCAAAAAAACAAACAAAAAACCCCAACCCACCCAACAAAACCTAAGCCAACAGGTAATTATTTTTCCCCAAAGCGGGGCCAACGCACAGAGCTAGCTGCAATGTACGTGGGCAGAGGTATTACCTTCTCTCTCCTTTTATTTCTCCTGTATCTTTTGATTAAAAACCTTGTGCCGTCTTCCTGCGTAAAAGGCAGTTGTGCAGCCTCCCCGGGAGAACACCCTCCTCTTCCCCGTTCTGATTCATTCAGCTTTTGTTTGCGGGATGAATGGGATACGGCGGAGCCCCCGGGTGCGGGCCGGGGGCTTCTTGTGCGTACGCTGTGCGTGTGCCTGTTCAGCACGAGCGTGTGTATACCGTGTGTGTGTTACAGGCGAGAACAGGGTATTTAGACCACATTAATGAGTATACAAGAGAGTGGGGAAAATGGATCATTTATGGTTATGATCTGGCTACTGTCAAAATAACATGTTATTTTGACGGTTGCTTTGTCTTTGCTCTCAGAGCAATATGAAGGTAGTTTCTTAGCAACAAAACTGTGTTCTCAAACAACACCGGTGAAAAACAGCCCCCCGGAAGAATAGCGTCGGGGGGAGAGGCAGGCTTGAGAGCACCTCTCTAGCATGTTCTCTGGGCACGGCGCGCTAATAAATTAGATAGGGAACGTCTTGCTTGACGGTAATCACTCACCGGCAGCAACGGCGCTGTGCAAGCGCTGCCCAGCCTGCGTGGACCGGGGGGGGAGCTCAGAGCCGTTTTTCAGATGGGTAAACTGAGGCAGCTTGAGGGTGAAAGTGGATGACGTGATGGCCCTTAGGTGCCTTGGAAGCTCTGCCGGGAGCGCTCCGTGTTGCTGGGCCGGGGACCGGGGACGGTCTCACGGCCCCTCGGGGCTTGACCGCTCGTCCCTGCATGGGAGGTTGCTCTAGCTGGGAGCTTGCTCCGGTGGAGGAGCGTTCGGAGCTTGTCCCTCTTGGTTGCACGGGGGACGTTCCTGCTCGGCGTGCCCGGGGGGTGGTCCCGTGTGTACGAGGGTTTCGTAGGAGGGTGGGTTTGAGAGGAGCAAGGTTTGAGAGGTGCCAGCGCTTTGCCTGCAGCTGCAAACGTTCGTTTTGGGGGAGCAGTGAACGCAACGCTCGCGGGAACCCGCCGTGGGTCTGACTACACCATCAGAGCTGTCTCAGGCTAACAAAACACGCGGGGAAAATTACCCTGCGTTTTCTTCTGCGAAGTGGAGGAACAAAGATGGCCATTTAGCAGCAGAGAAGCGTCCAGCTGAGGGACCTAGCAAATCAGGGCTCCCTCCAACACGGGCGCCTTTCCCGCGCGATGGATCCAGCGCGCTGTGCCTCGTCTCTGCTCAGGACTCGGCGCCGGCTGCAGCGCGTCAGGCCCTCGCCCGGGGAAAAACGACGTGGCCCGGTGTGAGTAGACGGAGGGGCATCTTTACACGCCTGGAAATGGCTCTGCCCGCGCTGGAGCCTTCGCGGCGCTCCTTCGTCGGG